GCTGATAATAATTTTTTTTTTAATTTTTTTTGTTGATTTCAGAGAGGAAGGGCAAGAGATAGAGATGTAGAAACATTGATGAGAGAAAATCATTGATTGGCTGCCTCCTGCACGCCCACTAGTGGGGAGATAGAGCCTGCAACCTGGGCATATGTCCTTAACTGGAATCGAACCTGGGACCCTCTAGTCTGCTGGCTGATGCTCTATCCACTGAGCCAAACCGGCTAGGTGATTATAAAATTTATATGGAAATGCAAGGGACCTAAAATGGCTAAAGCAGCAATCTTGAAGAAAGGCATAGTTGGGGAATTTAGATAACAAAGAATATTATAAAGCTACTACAATTAAGACAATGTGCCTCTGATATATGTATCCACAAAGAAATCAACAGAAAATGCAGAATTCCAAAACAAAATTCACATATATATATTCCTCTGATTTATAATAAAGGTGCCACTGCAATTCAGTGGAGAAAGGTTTGCTAGGAAATCTCATCCAGTTCCATGGTTTCAAACCTAATCTATGCTTATATTTCTGTTTTAAGCCCTGACCTCTGACCTGAACTTCAGCTATCCAACTATCTATTTGCCATTCTAACTGATGTTTAAAAATATATTAAACATATACTTTTGGGTCATTAAATAATCTAAACATGATCCAAACCCATTTCTTGATTCCCTTCACTTCATTCTTTCCACTCTGTGGATGACACTATCATCCACTTAGTTGCTCAACCTTAAAGCCTAGTAATTACCCTAGAATACTCTCTCTTCCTACATCATTCCATAGGAAAAATCTACCAAATCTGTCTAATGACCTACTCTGAATACATCTATTTCCTTCCAGCTCCATTGCTTCCACTCTAGTCCCAACACTTTCCTCTCTCACCAGACTGCTGCATTAACTTCCTAGTAGGTTTCCTTGCTTCTTATATCCTTATAGTCTATTCGCCACACAGAAACCAAAATGATCTTTTAACAAATCAGATAATGCCACTCATCTGCTGCCAATAACTACTGCTAACCCCTCCTCATACCACTTTTCCCCTTTATACTAAAGTCAGTCTTAATAATTACATAATTCACTGCCACAGTTAGCTCATATATACACTATACAAAATAACTAATTTAATTACTAATATTTATCTTGGGCAATTGGCTCTGCATAAATTTTACTTCATTTAAAATAAAATGGAAATATATTTTTAAATGTAATCTAAAAGCAGACTATTTTACATAAAATGAAATAGAAATAATATATTTTTTCTAATAGGAACATCAGATTTAAAATTAAAAATTAGCCTTAGCTGGTTGGCTCAGTGGTTAGAGTGTTGGTCTATGGACTGAAGGGTCCCAGGTTCGATTCCGGCCAAGAGCACATGCCCAGGTTGCGGGTTCAGTCCCCGTGGGGGGTGTGCAGAAGGCAGCCAATCAATGTTTCTCTCTCATCATTGATGTTTCGATCTCTCTCTCCCTCTACCTTCCTCTCTGCAATCAATAAAAATATATTAAAAAATAATAGTAAAATTAAAAATTACCTCCTAAACTTATCTTTCTTGTCTTTTAAGTCATCAACCTCATTGTGTGTGAACAGATCAGCTATACGTGTGATAAGATTTGCATTAATACAGTTCATGTTGCATGGCGTAGCTACTATGGCATTCATATTTTTGTGGCAATACTCAATACATTGTTCAACCTAAAAAAAATAGAATAAAAAATGAATGTTGAAAATAGCAGCATAAAGGATAATATAATATCAATACTTTTCAAAGGTAAAATTCATTAAAAGCCTTATCCATGTATTGCTACGTACTATCTGGGTTTTGCTTATCTGGGTTATCTACACTGTTCCAAAGTGGTCCAGCAGGTCAAATTTGTACAAATATATATCCATAGCTAGAATAATCATTTTCCACCTTCTTAAGATATTTTAAAAAGTAATGCAATGAGCATTTTCATAGCTGTGGCAGGTATAAATCTTAGTCCACAAAATCATGTATATAGGACATGTGACTTCTTATCACTTAACTTAGATAACAATTTTAAGTTTCCATTTCTCTGAGTAGCAGAAACATAATTTCAGTCAATTCAGGATTTTCTCAGTTGTGTTGTGCTTGCTCTCTTCCTCCTTCTCCAATCTGACGTATATTTACTTTTTTTCATATTAAATCATTTATGAAAATTTACTTTTTGAGGTGGACTTGGGTTCCAGGGAAAACTAGCATTGGCAAATCATGTATTCTTCAAAATACTTTGCTTATGGCAGAAAAATATCCTTTGGGCCTTAGATTTCAGAATTCAAATGTTAAGGATTCTTTTAACTTCTGTTTTTTTCTGTAACCCTTTCCTGAAGCAATTAATACCAACAACTGACTAGGGGAGGACTAAGGAATAAAAAGAACATAGTCAACTAGTAAAATCCCAATCAATCAAATAAACAAACAAATTTCACATCTGTTAGCATAGCAAAGGAGGCAGCTGATCGATGTTTCTCTCTCATTGATGTTTCTAACTCTCTGTGTAATCTTCTTGGGGACTAAAAGCAAATATTTACTTAAAGGAAAACCATAAGAATATATAAAAACATTTGAATGATAAATAAATTCATTAACAAAAAAAAATACAAATATATTTCATGTTAAAACTTGATATGTTTATGTACATATGCTTTTGTTTCATCAACTACTCTTAAACAATAGAATGAATGAGCATCTGATTTACACATACAAAATTATATTATTTAATAGTTGGGTATTGGTTCTTAATTTGATGAACTATAAATGAAAGACACAAATTAACAAAACATGCTTAAAGAAATTACTTAAATAGCGAAACAAATATATTCCAATTAATTTTCATTTAACTTGATTTGAGAGCAAATTCTTTATTAGGGTAAAGTTAATTCTGTTTTGTTTCATCTAATACAACAGAGAGCTCCTCCTTGAGGATAAATTGCTTGCTTTATAGGCATCATATACAAATGATATATAACAGCCTTAACCCCTTTCACAACAGAATAAAATACCTTCAAACATGAGCAGTTTATTCTAATGGAATCACACTCTTGAATTAACAATTCAGAACTTGAAGGAAAAATCAAGTTAAATATTAAGTCAAGCATGGGTGAGCAGAAGACCTTAGATCTTTTATTAATACTTACCAATGAATCCATTTTCAAAAACTCTGAAGAAATAAGAATTGAAATGACATTTCCTGGCTCTTAAAAAAAAACAAAAACAAACATTTAAATTCTCCTTTTTATTTGTACCTCAAATTCCTGAGAAGAGACTCCCTCTCACTTTAAAAGAGGATGATACTCTAATAAGAACAATTTAAGATTATCTTACTATGGCTTACATATGTGAAAGAAAGAAAATGCAATGTTCAAACTTAGGGTATAAAGAAAATGCACAGTAAATTTGCCCTGGAATTAGATGTATTATCAAGTAAAAGGACTCCAGTTAAAGATAGAATATATGCAAATTTCTCCTTAACTAAGCCAGGGAAAAGATAATAAAAATTGAGAATAGCTCTAACCGGTTTGGCTCAATGCATAGAGCATCGGCCTGTGGACTGGGGGGTCCCAGGTTCAATTCCAGTCAAGGGCATGTACCTTGGTTGCAGACACATCTCCAGTGGGGAGTATGCAGGAGGCAGCTGATCGATGCTTCTCTCTCATCGATGTTTCTAACTCTCTATCCCTCTCCCTTCCTCTCTGTAAAAAAAAATCAATAAAATATATTTAAAAAACAAAACAAAAACAGAATATAACTCATCACACAAAAATCAGTGAGAAAAATTTTTAAATGATTGAGAGCCCTTGTTCATAAAAAGCAGTTCTATGTTTTTTAAGAACAAGTACTTAGTGAAAAAGATTCTGAAAGACAATATAAAATTTACTCCTGCAGAAATGCTAAAGTTCCTTCCTAAAGGCAGACTGAGTGGAGTCAGGGAGAGGAGGATGCCATATGATGCTACTGTTTCAGTACCTAAGTCATCTCCTATGAAGTATAGTTAAGAAAAAGAAAAATCTGATTTTTACCATTATAGTACTAAGACAATCCAACTAAAGAACTATACAAACAATGATTACAATAAGTAACCCCTATCTTTTCTTAAATAACAACTCTAGGTGAAAGTTTCTCAGATAGAAATGAAGGGAGGAAGGAGCTTGTGAAAGAGTTCCTCAGGAAATTATAATATGGTCCATTCCAGTTAAGACCCATTGTTTAGAATAGATTATCAGAGATTTAATTAAGCATTTTGGTAGTTTTCCAAATCAGAATAAAGATTGTGTGTGTATAAGTTTACATTTCTAGTCATTTTTTAAGGTCAAAGATTAAAGTGAATAGTTTTGCACTACTTTTACCTTTATTATCCACATAAATATGCTAGATCAAGAAATAGCTTTTTTTTTCTCTACATAATTTGATTTTTACTTCACACATACATATCATCTGCATGGTCCAGTATCTCTGGACTCTGATTGGCTGAAATTTTTTAAAATTAATTCATTTTGCCGAAACCGGTTTGGCTCAGTGGATAGAGCGTCGGCCTGCGGACTGAAGGGTCCCAGGTTCGATTCCGGTCAAGGGCATGTACCTTGGTTGCGGGCAACATCCCCAGCAGGAGATGTGCAGGAGGCAGCTGATCGATGTTTCTCTCTCATCGATGTTTCTAACTCTCTATCTCTCTCCCTTCCTCTATGTTCCTCTCTGAAATAAATATATTTAAAAATGAAATAAAATAAATTAATTCATTTTATTTAACCATAAACCACTAGAAACGATTTCCATTAAAATAGAAATTATAAACTTCTTCAGAAAAGTTTTAAACTGTCAGTATAGACTCATTTACTAATAAGAGGTTAGAAATATTTTGGTGCTGGCCAGTATGTCTCAGTAGTTGAGCATGACCTATGAACTGGGAAGTCACGGTTTAATTCCCAGGACAGGGCACATGCCTGGATTGCTAGCATGATCCCCAGAGGGGTTGTGCTAGAGGCGGTTGAGCAATGATTTTCTCTTATCATTGATGTTTGTCTCTCTCTCCCTTTCCCTTCCTCTCTGAAATAAATAAATATGTATATTTATTAAAAATAAATATTTTGGCCGAAACCGGTTTGGCTCAGTGGATAGAGCGTCGGCCTGCGGGCTGAAGGGTCCCTGGTTCGGTTCCGGTCAAGGGCATGTACCTGGGTTGCGGGCACATCGCCAGTAAGAGATGTGCAGGAGGCAGCTGATCGATGTTTCTCTCTCATTGATGTTTCTGGCTTTCTATCTCTCTCCCTTCCTCTCTGTAAAAAATCAATTAAAAAAAATAAAAAATAAATATTTTGGTACTGCTGTAAATAGCAATTTTAGTGCACAGAAAGACTTTCTTAAACCACTAGTGAGATTTCCTATATAAAACTATGCCCAATGAAAGATTACTTAGTAATTATTCTTCTTATCATCTAGAATAGTGGTTCTCAAACTTTTGCTCTCAAGATCCCTTTGTAATCTGAAAAACAGACTCCTAAAGAGCTTTTGTTTATATGGGTTATATGAGTATTTACCATGTTAAAGATGAAAACAGAAAATGTATTAATTTACTTAAAAATAATAAATTCATTACATATTCACATATTTTTTTGAAAAATAACTAGTATATTTTCCAAAATGAAAAAAAAAACTAGTGAGAATAACATTGACATATTTTGCAATTTCTTCAATGTCTCACTTAATAGAAATCAGCTGGATTCTCATATCTGGTTCTACATTCAATATATGGGTAATCTTTTTTGATGTTATTTCAAAACTTGACAAGTGGTACTTTCTTAAGGTTAGTTGCAATGGAATCTGAAATCGTCAATGAACTTTTCCATTCTATTACCTTAAAATCCACTGATTTATCTTGTGCTTTGAATCTTTAACTCCATGCATAATTTTAAAAAATATATGTTTTATTGATTTTTTTACAGAGAGGAAGGGAGAGGGATATAGAGTTAGAAACATTGATAGGAGAGAAACATCAATCAGCTGCTTCCTGCACACCTCCTACTGGGGATGTGCCCGCAACCAAGGAACATGCCCTTGACCGGAATCAAACCTGGGACCTGGCAACAAATACTAGCAGTTGTTTCTTTTTAATTGACCAGCTCATTTAATTCATTCTCTTTTCTCTTTTTGGTGTTTTTTCGTTGTTGTTGTTAATTTTTACCCGAGGATATTTTTCCATTGATTTTTTAGGGAGAGTGGAAAAGGGAGGGAAAGACAGAGAGAAACATGGATGTGAGAAACACATCAATTGTTTGCCTCATGTACGAGCCCTGACCAGGGCCTGGCCTGGGAAGGAGCCTGCAACCGAGGTACATGCCCTTGGCCGGAATTGAATCCGGGACCCTTTAGTCTGCAGGCCGATGCTCTATCCACTGAGCCAAACCAGCTAGGGCTTAATAAATTTTCAAGACAATATCTGCAAAATGCCTAGGTCTGAGTAACCATAATTTGTCTGTCAGTCATTCTCTCAAGTAAACACAGTTTTCAATTTTTAAAAAAAGCAACGAGGTTAGATTGCAACTCAAACAACTGCACAAGTGCTTTTCCTCAAGACAACCATCATACTTTGGTGTGTGGCAGAATATTAAAAAGATGTATACTCAAGATGTATAGTCTGTATACTCACACAGAATATTAAAAAGATGTATACTCAAGGCTCAAAACTTAATAAAATTAGTAATTTTTACCACTTCATCAAGGACATTCTTAAGTGAACCTGGATTTTTTTTTCCTTTTAACTGTGAGTTCATGGAATACAGAGACCACTAGTACAGTTTGGTGCACTGACCTTGATATAGGCTAAAGCTGCAACAGTTTTACATCTGTACCACCTGGACAAATGTCAACACATAAAGACAAATAACATCTTGGTTTAATTATGCAAATTGTCTTGACCTCCTGGATCCTCTAAAAGAATCCTCTAGGACTCCAGTGGTCCATGTACCATACAATGGGAATTGCTGATGTAGAGACCTGTCCATTCGCCATACATCCTATATAATAAAAGGCTAACATGCAAATCAACCAAACAGCAGAATGACTGGTTGCTATGACGTGTACTGACCACCACGTCCAGACGTTCAATGCCGGAGCTGCCCCCTGGTTGTCAGTGCACTCCCACAGGGGGAGTGCAGCTCAGCCAGAAGCCAGGCTCATGGCTGATGAGCGTAGCGGAAGTGGTGGGAGCCTCTCCCGCCTCCGTGGCAGTGCTAAACCGTCAGTCAGACATCCCCCCCGGGCTCCTGGACTGCAAGAGGGTGCAGGCCAGGCTGAGGGACCCCCCCTGAGTGCACAAATTTCGTGCACTGGGCTTCTAGTTCATTATAATTTACTAAAAAATATGAGGTATGTTTTCTAAAGGGCAATTACTAATTTGTGTATAAACACTAATGTTCAAGCAAATATCCACATTTCATGTTTGGCCTGAAGCAACTACCAGGTGACACACAAACTTAACTACAAAGTAAGTAATAGATTGTCTTTTACCTAAAGTGGGCATCTCACAACCTTTATTCTCCTTAGTGTTCCTTTTAACATATTTTATCAACCAGTTGAAAATTTGAACGTCACAGTGAACTGAAATGTCAACCTCTTCCCAGCGCTGGGCATCCATAGATAAATATTCAGCAAAGTACTTCATTTCTGATATCAAAAGGTCTCGTGGGCAAATAAAATCTTCTTTCAAATTTTTTGCTTCATCACATACATGGATCACCATATTTGGCCTTCATAAAAAATGTTACATAGAAATAAAATTATTAGAATTTCAGAAGAGGAGTCAAGAATATTAACATTTATTGGAAGTATGAGAACAAGATGTTTTTTAAGATTTGACCACAAATCAGTTTTATAGGATTTAAGTGTCTTGCTAATCTTATCCATATCTGAGATTATGAATAATTTTAATTAAACTATTCACTTAATTAGACAAATAAAAATATTTTTTACTATGGGACTCATAATTTACAGGTTTTAAATTCATTATTTTCAAGGTATAAGTAAATTATGAAAATTTAAAAAACAGTACCAATTCATGAAGAAAAATTAAGTAATACATTCTAATTCTTGTGATGAACATAAAACAGTACTTTTACATGGCTATGGGTCTTGGAAGGAGATAAAGCTAAATATTAAAATTTCCTTACTAGTAATAAGTAAAAAAAAAAACGTTAAAACTATTCACTAAAAAATAAAAAAATTAGTAGAGTAACTTAGTTATTTTTAACAGCAAGAAAGTTTGCCAGGCCTGGTTGGGTGGCTCTGTGGTTGAGGTTTAACTCCTGAACAAGGAGGTCATGATTTTATTCCCAGTGAGGGCACAAGCTGGGTTGTGGGCTGGATCCCCAGCAGCGGGTGTGGTGTGTAGGAGGCATCCAATCGATGATTTTCATCATTGATGTTTCTCTCTCTCTCTCTCTGAAATCAATAAAAATATATTTAAAAGCAATAACAATAAAAACTTTTTTTTTAAAAAAAGAAAGTTTGTCAGGCATTCAAAAAACGTTTTTTTAAAAAAAGAAAGTTTGTCAGGCATTCAATAAATATAAATTAGTAAATATAGTTAAAATAATTCTTAAAACTACAATGTGCTATTTACATATTTTTTAATAATTTGAGAATAAGTTTAGATGATACATCAGAATGATTGCTTCAAAAATTATGTACTCCTTGAATTTAGTATCCCTTGATAAGTATATTACCTCAAAAAGAAACATTAGTGTGATCCACAATTGCCTTCATGTCATTACAAAAGGAAGAGATTAAATAAGAAGAGATACACTGTCCTACAAGATGAACTGGATGTGTGTTTAGTGGAACTTTATTTCTAAATATAAAAAATTACCACTATGCTCTACATCTCAAACAAATATAAAATGTTACTGAATGTCAACTGTAATTGAAAAATAAAAATAAGTAAGCAAATAACTGCATTTGAAAAAAAATTGGGCTACCAGAAAAAGGGTTATTAATCAACACTCTTGTCCAAGTCAAAAGAATTTAAATAACTCTCTGAAAATTGTTCTTCCAAATAAATTATGGTCAAAATATAAACAGGTAATGGCTGGTATAATGAAGCATAAAGTTTCTGTGGCTTTTTGGACCACTATCTGAAATACTAGATAATCCCATGTAAAAAAATTATCTGATAAAATTTTTGTGATTCAAACTTAGCAGTTAAAAAAATCTACCTAGCCCTGGCTGGTTTGGGTCAGTGGATAGAGCGTCGGCCTGCAGACTGAAGGGTCCCAGGTTCGATTCCAGTCAAGGGCATGTACCTTGGTTGTGGGCACATCCCCAGTAGGGGGTGTGCAGGAGGCAGCTGATTGATGTTTCTAGCTCTCTATCCCTCTCTCTTCCTCTCTGTAAAAAATCAATAAAATATATATTTTTTAAAAATCTACGTAAAAATGATATGTAAATAAACTAAAAATCACTTTTAAAGGGTGATTTTATTTTATTGTGGTAAAATATACATAACATAAAATTTGCCTTTTTAAGAGTACAGTTCAGTGGCATTAAGCACATTCACATTGTTTCAATTATCACTACCATCCATCTCCAAGACGTTTTCAAAAGGGTAAATGTTATAGTATGTGATTTATATAGTAATAAAACTGTTATAAAAAGAACTATCTAAACTGAAAATACACAAAAGAACTTTTAGAGATAATGAAAATATTCTATATCTTCATTTGGGTCATGTTACATGGTGAGCCCATTTGTTTAAAATATGTGCAGTTGACTGTATGGAAAGTATACAAAACAATACAAAAGTATCAAGACTTGCAATACAGCCCTGGCTGGTGTGGTTCAGTTGGTTGGAGCATTGCATACACCAAAAGGTGGTAGGTTTGATTCCAGGTGAGGGCACATACCCAGGTTGCAGGTTTGATCCCCGGTCCGCTTGGGCAACCAATCAATGTTTCTCTTCTACATTGATCTCTCTCTCTCTCTCTCTCTCCCTTCCTCTCTCTACAATCAATAAAAGAAAAAAATAGGGAGATTTAAAAATAACTTGTAATATATTGAAAGATATATTCTAATTTTTAAATGTTTCTATAATGAATAATTATATTCAAACTAGAGGCCCAACGCACGAAATTCGTGCAAGGGTCTTGGCCCCCTCCACTGCCTCGGCCACCTCTGCCTCAGCTCGGCCCCTGCTGCCTCAGTTTTGTCCAGAAGGTCATCTGGGAGGACATCCGGAAGGACGTCCAGTCTAATTAGCATATTATGCTTTTATTATTATAGATACATCATTCTAAAATACATAACCAGTTTCTTTAATAAAACTGGAGAACTAATAATTGACTTTTCCTTTAGATTTAAAATTTACTTTTCAAAGTTTTAGGTTAATAGATGTTATTTCTAATATTTACAAAATGAAAATAAAATTTTAAAATGAAAAACTAGTCCAATTTATAAACAACACAAATAAGCATATGTTTAGCTATCAAGCAATTATATATAGTTCAACATATGAACTAATTTCAACTGTTTCAGCAATTGTGGTATTCCTAAATTATGGTACCTGATGTATATAATCACCAATCATGTATTTTATAATTTAAAGTAGATACTCATATTAAACTTATCTAGCAAAGAACCAGCCTCCTACCCTTCAGATTCTTCGGTCTTTGCTCCACCATTACGAGTAGTACAATTTTCACTTTCTGAAGAACAATTCCTTGTGGAAGCTTAAATACAGAAACAAACACATACAAAAACAAAGGGGGGGAGTTAGCATTTCTAGCTCAGAATGAATTTTTACTTATTGAATGGTTATAGTGTAAATGCATGGCTTCCAACGCTAGTTAAAGGTGGCACTTCCCTTAGTATTCCAAATGTTTATGCAAGAAACAGTCCAAAAAAGGGATAACAAATTGCTAATGTTACAATGAAGATTTAAAAAATACTGATATGGCGTGTACAAATAGGGTCAAATGCTCAAAAGCCAACAATATAAATTTCCCTTCCTGAAGTAAATTTTCACATCAATACTCTGACAGCTGTTGCTGAGATTAAAATAATTCACTACACTCTGAGGATTTCTAAAACCAGTTATTATTTCCAAAGCAATTGCGGAAAAACATCTCTTCTATCCTGCCACTGTGTCATTTGAAACTATCATTGACTGCAATAAAGGATAGATAGCTGTAAAAAAGATAACACAAGAGACAAGCAAAATTCTCTGAGGGAAGGGAAAAAACCTTAAGTCAAATACCTTTAATATTTATGACATAACTTGGAATAGTAAATTTTGGTATAGTAAATAAAATTTTTTGTTAATAATATTTGACCTGTATATTAACATTTAAAATTTTTTCAAATATAGAAAAGAAAAATTTCTAAAATTTAGGAAGACACAAAAATGCATAGATTTTTCTATTAATGTTTATATTAGCCTTTACATAAATAAAGAAAAGATGATTGGAATACATAATAATTTGCAGAATTATCCTAAGGACAAACACTGCATTTTGTTTTAAAACCTTACCTGTTTTGGAAACTGCATCCTGATCAACAGAAGCCTCCTGAAATTCTCCGTGTGTGTCAAGAAGTGAGGATTTGATATACGTGGCTAAAGTTTCAACAGGACTCTCTCCAGCCATTAGGGGACTATACCGGTTGTCAACAGGTGAGCTTCCACTGCTCTTTAGTTCCTCAAACCTTTTTGCACACTGTAATAATATCAAAGGAAGAAAATGCAGGTCTGGGAGTTTTTGTTTGTTTTTAATTATGCTTTTATTTATTTTTAGAGAGGAAGGGAGAGGGATAGAGAGATGGAAACATTAATGAGAGAGAAACATTGATCGGCTGCCTCCTACACACCCCTACGGGGGATAGAGCCCACAACCCTGGGCCTGTGTCCTGACCTGGAATCGAACCAGTGACCTCTTGGTTCATGGATCAATGCTCAACCATTGAGCCACACTGACTGGGCTGGGAGTTTTAAAATTAAAAAATAAGAAAATATATTCTTGTCTGTTATTTGAAGATACTTTTCTATAATTATTTCTTTTAGTTGTTCCTTGAAATTGATCACTTTTTCTAATTTTTTTTCAGAAGATATCTGTGGGACTGTTATTTACCTCTTTGGGCGTTAATCCAGGAACAAGCCTTGCCACAGTTTCCCAGTTAATCGTCTGATGGATTCCAATTAATGGATAAAGAAGCATGTCCAACACCATTTGGCTGTTATTGTTCAGGAAATTGTTGTTTTCTGAATATCCACGACTCATCTTTTGGAACTAGAGACAGATAAAAGCAGATTTATTTGCATCTGATATACAAATGTTTTCAGAACATTTTAAATCAGTTATAATTAATTCCTAAAAATTATCTGCTACTATATAAAGTAAAGCTGACATAAAATAAACACAAAGTATATAGCTCAAACTCTTCAAATATAATTGTATTTTGACATTATGACTTGGTAGATGGATGGATAGAAGGACGGACAGATAGATAAATGATTAAAAGTGTAATGTGAAAATATTAATCATCAACTATAATTAGTGTTATTTTTATATGTTCGAAACAACTTTTTTGGGGAAAGTTCTTCTCTTCTTCCTTGTCTTCAGAAGCAATGGAACAATTGGCCTGATAAGTTTTAATCCTTAAATACACACCCTGACACTCATATATAAAAAGCCAAGACACCTCCACACACAGGCACTTACTGAGCAGAATGGAGGCTTCCCTTGCTTCTTCACCTGACTCTCCACAAGTCACATCCCCTATTTCAATCTAGGAGCCCTTGAATAACATGTGCAGTGGCCAAGGGTGTCCAAAATCTTCAGGCAATAGGATCACCAAGAAAAAGGCTCCAGATGGCTTTCCGAAAGCATGTAGTGCAATAAACATTCATTCAGTGGGTCCCAACTATGTGCCAAGCACCAGGGATGCAAAAATAAATATGGCATGGTCCCGGTCCTCAAGGAGTTTATGGTTTAGCGTGAAGTATTATCAGACAAACGGATCTTTTTAATATAATTTTCTGAGAGCCAAAGCAGAGGGGAGCCAGAGGGGCAGATGAGGGATATATAACAGCTATTATTTACTGAGTACTTCCTAGGATGGTAGAACTGTTATTTCAATAAAATTTCACCACACCCCTATAAGAAAGGTGCTCTCCCCACTTTTACAAGACGAAGAAATAGGTTCAGAGAAGTACAAGGCCACAGAAGTAATAAGAGGCAGGGCAAGGTAAAACTGACGCTCACACTCATGTTGTTTCCATTATATACAAGAGGTATATTACAGGGAGACAGCAGGCTGGGAATAATGACTTAGGGTAGAGAAAGACAGTCTAATTTTGAAGTCAGTTATAATTCAAAGAAATAATTCTGAAAGCTTCTGCTTCTGAGGTAAGGGAGGGGGAAGGCTGTGGTATCAGAACAAAAATGAAGCCACAACATTTAAACTTAGAGAAGTTTAAGTATTTCTGGCAATTATACTTCAATAGAGCCAAGATTTAACAAATAATTTTAAAAAACTTTTTTTTTGGTATCAATGTATGTGAGAAGTCTCTTATCTTATTCAAACATGTGCTGAGCCCTTGTTATGGGCCAGGCATTCTATCTGAAGTTAGAACATAAACTTACATATGAAAATAAGACAAAGGTTTATGGCTAGTCATATCTATGATTCAATTGATGATGAATTCTGGGTTGGGAATGTAATCACCAAAGAGAAGCTGTTACTATGGAAAACTACATCTATTGTAGGGCATGAAGTATGAAAACAAGAATCCACTGACAGACTGGTACAGTGCCAAAAGCAGTGCACCCAAGTTTAAAAGATGATAATTCCTCTGACTGACATCATAGAGAGAATCAAAGGGATTACTTTGTGAGAGCACTTTGAAAACAATGAAAGCGCCTCACGAATGAGAGTTATCTACCTCCTAGCATTGTGCTGAGGATTATGTGAGATGTTTTAATGTTCAGATGGGGAGGTGGAATGTAGAAGCTCTCAGTAAGGGTTAACTATGATTAGGGCCATGTAACTGTTTCCATAAAACACTGATATGAGACATCAGGTGGCAGACATAAAGTTATTCTACATGTATCTGCCTGAGCATTAAAAAGAAACACTTAAGGTATTACATGGTTCAGATTACTTATCTCTGTGCCTCAATTTCCTCATCTGTGAAACAAAAAAATAGTGGCTAGCCCACATACTTTTGAGGACATATGGACAGAGCAACCTGGTACACAGTAAGGATTATGTAATGTTTGTAGTAGTAACATTATCATTCCAGAGATCCTCAGATTAAACAAATTCATAAAGATAAATGTGGCAGATAAGAGACAGTAACTTTTCAATGAAGTATCCTTTTGACAAAATGAGTAAAAAGTCAGATCTAGATTCTTATCCAGTTTTTACCACTTTCAATAGTCTCAGCTATAAGAAAATAATACCTACCTTTGGTGTTACTGTGAGGATTAAATAGTAATAGATAAAGCATCCAGCACACTATGTGGCATACAAAACGTGCTCAGTAGATAACTTGTCACCACTATTATTATTTTTCTTCCTCCTATTTTGGCCATTATTGGCATTAAAAATTTCTAACAATTATTTTAATAACTGTAAATCACTGCCTTGAGCCCAAATAAAAATAGATTTTCCAGAACTTCATTGTCCTCCATCTGTGTGCCTGGCACATCATCACTTTTTCACACCACACAATTTGAGATGTATGTTAGGGCATGGGGTTGTTTTGTATAATTTGTTTGAGTCTCAGTCTAAAACAGAGTTCAGGCCAAAACCGGTTTGGCTCAGTGGATAGAGGTCTCAGTCTAAAACAGAGTTCAGGGAAGGAACAGGGGTACTTTTTTTCCCCCACTTCAAAAACATTTATTTAAAATTCCTACAGGTTCGATTCCGGTCAAGGGCATGTATCTGGGTTGCGGGCACATCCCCAGTGGGGAGTGTGCAGGAGGCAGCTGATCGATGTTTCTCTCTCATCGATGTTTCTAACTCTCTATCTCTCTCCCTTCCTCTCTGTAAAAAATCAATAAAATATATTTAAAAAAAAATAAAACAGAGTTCAAGGCAAGGAACAGGGGTACTTTTTTCCCCCCACTTCAAAAACATTTATTTAAAATTCCTAAAATACTTATTGTGTCCTACAATGTGTAGGCACCTACGAGCTAATCAAAAATACAGTCCGGACTAAATACTTAAAAATGTGTATGTATATTTCAAATATGGTACTCACAATATACATGTTTAAGAATAATTTAGCCCTAACTGGTGTGGCTCAGTGGATAGAGCGTCAACCTGCGGACTGAAAGGTCCCAGGTTCGATTCTGGTCAAGGGCACGTACCTTGGTTGCGGGCACATCCCCATTAGGAAGTGCGCAGGAGGCAGCTGATCAATGTTTCTCTCTATTCCTCTCCCTCTCCCTCTTTCTCTCTGTAAAACAATCAATAAAATATATTTTTAAAAAAATAAACTTATTTGTTAAAAAAAGAATAATTTAAGTCATTTAGAGATGAAAAAAAAACTTTTTTAACCTGAAGCTGATACAATTTTTCAAAGTGGGTAGTCTTAATCTTTTTTTTACTCCCTCTTTCTCTGTAAAACAATCAATAAAATATATTTTTAAAAAAATAAACTTATTTGTTAAAAAAAGAATAATTTAAGTCATTTAGAGATGAAAAAAAAACTTTTTTAACCTGAAGCTGATACAATTTTTCAAAGTGTGGAGTCTTAATCTTTTTTTTATGATTTTTGTAGTCTCTTCCCGCCCCCTCCACATCCCTCCCCACCCCGAGAACAGTCAGTCCACTCCCTTTATATGCCCCTGATTCTTTTATAATCATCAGTTTATTCTGTTCATCAGATTTTTTATTCACACGATTTTTGGATTCACTTGTTGATAGATGTGTATTTGTTGTTCATAATTTGTATCTTTACCTTTTTCTTCCTCGTCCTCTTCTTAAAGGATACCTTTCAGCATTTCATATAATCCTGGTTTGGTGGTGATGAACTCCTTTAGCTTTTCCTTATCTGTGAAGCTCTTTATCTGACCTTCACTTCTGAATGATAGCTTTGCTGGATAAAGTAATCTTGGTTGTAGGTTCTTGGCA